ATCATAATAGCTACTATAAAAATTAACCATTTAGATATTTGTACCTATTTTATTTTTCTATTTTATTTTGCTCATTCTAGATAGGTTCTTTTTTTTTTTTTAAATAAAAGTGCATATCGATGATGCTTTTTTTCCCTTTATTTCATTCTACATCTTTTTTCTTTTTCAGGGCAAAGGATGGTACAGTCTCTCAGCCAGTCAAGGTTGAACCCAAAGGTTCCTTCCCTTCCTTCTCTTCCAAAATACATAAACACTGCAAACTGCAATAATATGTATTATGTTTTCTACTTCTACAATCCAATTATCATTGTCTCGTTCTTATGTTTTGGTTTGGATGTGCAGTGAAAGATGAGGAGGCACCAGCTCTTGAAGATGCTGAAGTTCTTGACGAGTTGAAAGGAAATAAGAAACGCCACTTGAATGTTGTATTCATTGGTCATGTTGGTTGGTTTTTCTACTTATTATTTAATTTAAAGGTGGGGTTTTTTCATTTTTATGTCCTTTATTATTCTCTATGAACTGGAATGTTCAAAGGCCAAATAAAAGGGAGAAATGTGTTTCACATTGTTCCTTATTAGCTTTTTAGTTTGAGTTCAGGGATTGGTTGACTAGATGCCACATAGAAATAATTTAATGGTCTGGCATTTTCTAAGATCCATTGTGGAGTTGACTGTGTTAATTGTTTCCTAGAACAGATTGTATACATGCTTGAATGATTAAAGACTTTCAAAATCTTAAGTTAAAATCTTATGGTGGAAAAAAAAAAAAACTTATGGTTTCCTGTTTCTATTTGGTATCTACATACTTTTGAGAAGTTTCAAGCTTTCTTTCTTGGATATTATATGTTATTTTTATGAAAAAGTGTTTTTAGTTTGTTTAAAGTTTCAACTTTTTCAATTTGGCAACTTTGTTTTATTTGGCATCATAAGGGACAATTGTTGATCGAAGTGAGGAATGTTGGCTCTTTTTAATCACACATTTTGATGGTCCTATCTTCCTAGACTTTTCATCCAAATGGTATGTTTTGGCTTTGTTTTGTAATTGGTTTTCAGATGCTGGGAAGTCAACAATTGGAGGACAGGCTCTTCCTTGGTGTTCAGGTTTCCAAAAATATGAGAGAGAAGCGAAAGACAAAAGTAGAAAGCTGGTGAGACTTTACATTATTTCTATATTCTTTACATGGAAAATTTTCCTACGTTACTTATAAACTATTTGCCTAAGAGAATGATAATGCAACACAAATCAATTTGAAAAATGGTTTCTTGTCCTGTGTTACTTTACATTCTTGTTCTTTATATACCATGTAACCATTCAAGGCAACATATTGTTTTTATTCTGTTTCTTGCTATTAAAAGGTTGTTGGTTTTGATATGCTTGTTTTGCATGCCAAGAGAATCATATATCCAATGAGGAACTTGATTTTAGAAGTTAGGCTAGGATTATGCTGGTTTATTCTGGTATTGCTATTATATGTTTTGTTATGTGAACTTAAAAGTATAAATTTGATCCCTGATGCTATCTATGTTGAAAATAATTGCTAGCATAGAACAATTTTGGGTAAAATCTTTTGTAAAGAATAATTTAGTGTGATATTGAATCAGCGATGACTAGACCCAAACCATTGATCAAATCTTAAGACATTTTTGATATGGTAAGGATCAGGTTGTTGGCTGTTGCTAAGAGTTAAAAGAAGCTATAAAAATGGTTCCATTTCCAGCTTTAAACTGTAGCATTTCTTTTACAAGTTGTTGAGAGTGGAGGGTTTTTTCTTTCGTTTTAAAATTTTTAATTACATTTTGCTTTGGATGGTTAGACAGAGCTTGTGGATGGGATTAAAAGTATGTTTTAAGTTTCATTGGCTAAACTTGAAATTGGGATCCTCTTCATTCAGATTCTTTAATTTGTGGATTTTTGGATTAGAACTGCTGTTTGGAGGGATTGCTTTCAAGTTTTGAAGTCATTTTTGAATTTGTCACAAGTTTTGAATGACTAAGGGATTTCAAAGTGCGTAAAAATTCTGAATATATTCTCTTTATCCTATCAAATGCCAATATAAGTTGCTCAAAATTTTTGGTTTTGTTTCCTGTTGAAGTTTGTTTGATTCAGCATCACATCAAGCATTCTTGAGATTGTTAAATGTTTAATGTGCTAGACAATAAGGGTCTTGGCCCTTGCATTGTTTGACTATAATGATTATCTTCTCTGTTAGGTATGTGGCATATATTATGGACTCTAATGCAGAGGAGAGAATTAAGGTACCATAAGATGTAGTAACCATGTTTACATTTTTGGATTCCATATTGTTGCTATTTTAAAGAAAAAAATGGTTGCAACTTTTTTTTTTCCTGATACATGCCATTACTCTTTGTTATTTGCACAATCTCACACAATTGATTGTGGGGTATTACTGTGGAAGTTAGAAGAGCACGCTTTGAGACTGAAAATACTAGGTTTGCCATTTTGGATGCAGTGGTAAGCAATTATTTTGAAGCTAAAACACCATGATTTTGTATTTTTTCTATGATTTCCTATCTTCATTATTTAATTTTTGTTTGATAAGGTTATAAGTTTTATCTAGTTTATTGCTTTTTGTACATCTGTATTTTGTGAATTACGATATGATTCTATGAGGTTGAAAAAGATGAGGGATAGATGAGCGGGATAGTTTCTAATTAATGCTTTAATAAGCTGTATAATCTTAGGCTAATGTAAAAGTGAACTATGTGATGGTTTCTAGTTCTATCAAATGAAACTCTACTTCTTCATGCAAGCAGTGTTGCAAAACACAGTAGGCAGACTAGCACCGAGTGCCCGGGAGCACCCAGGGGCAGCTAGATGCGTCTGGATGTTTTGCCTTTAAAATATTTTTTTTTAAATGTCAAAAAAGTCATTAAAAAATGGGAGAAAAATCAGAAATTGAAAAAAGTTGAAAAGGGCTGCCCAGCATGTTTGCGAAACTTAAAGGACTAAACTGCCAAAAATAACATTGAAATGCAGCTAATCATTTAAGTCAGCTTAATTCAATGATTAGTCTATTAATTATGATTGTATTTCATTTTAGTCTAGAGAGTTAGTTTTCTTTCTAAATGGTCTATAAATTTTGTAATATATTTTAGAATAGTTTACTGTACAAAACTTCCATTAATTTTAACAAAAAAATAGAATAATTAAATCAAAATTAAAACAGAGTAGTCTCAACTAGTAAAGCAGTTTACGATAGATTGTGCAAGCTATTGAAGTATGTCAATAATTGTGGTTTCTATTACAAGGAAGAATTGTCAAAAAGGAAAGTTGAAGTAGTATGTGATAAAGGTTACAATCCATCAAACAGTGAAAAGGAACTTATTATCCTTACAAAGTTAGTTTTATTTTAAAATTAATTTTAAGGAGTAAAAATTTACAAAAGAAGTTAAAGATCAATTTGATCAAATGAAGTAAAATTATTGCTAGAAAGTTAATAGACTAGATTAGATTGAAATAGAAGTAAAAAATAATAGCTGGATCTGAAAGTATCTAAAAATAATCGACAAAACAAAAAATATATATATATAAAAGTTAGTAGACTATTTATTAAATTAAGCACATTTCACTTGGCACAACCTTCTTCGACCTTTGGGAATTGGATCGGGTCTGGTTTGCAGGTCAGATTTGGGCCACAGCGCGTGAGGTTCAGCCACCTTTCTGACTAAAACTCCAGCAGAGTAGCTCTCCGGGGCCCTCTGAGAAAGTTTCTGACATTGTGTCTTGGATTATGGCACAAAATCACTGTTCACCTGGGCAGTCCAAGGGGTGAGGTGGTCTGGTTACCAGTGCCTCCTGGTCAACTAATCCCTACTTTTGCAATACCGCCTGCAAGCCATCCTCACTACATTTGATTAGAGTTTTTGAGATGTGACAGCTTAGCTGCTTATAATTCTAAATACTTATCAAATTTGTGCGTGCAAACATGTTTGTAATCTAAATGATGGAGTTTGTACAGCACTGAGTAGGGAAGTTGTGAATTTGTTTACAGAATAAGATTCTCAGCTCTTTTATTCTTTGGCCATAATTTGTTGTGTTTTGAATGTATATTTCCCATCAATTTTGCTTCCGTATATGATTTAACTTTGAGTTTTGGGTTGTTTGTTCAGGGTCACAAGAGTTATGTCCCAAATATGATCAGTGGAGCAGCTCAAGCAGATATTGGTGTTCTGGTGAGTTAGGCACCACTTCACTGCATTTGTTTTGCACAAGTCCCATTTTTTGAATTTTCAATTCATTCTCCTTCTCTGTCTTGTTCTCTGACTGTCATAATTAGGTTATTTCTGCCCATAAAGGGGAATTCGAAACTGGATATGAGAAGGGTGGGCAAACCTGTGAACATGTTCAGCTTGCAAAAACTATGGGCTTATCTAAGCTGTTCATGGTTGTGAACAAAATGGATGATCCCACTGTTAACTGGTCAAAAGAAAGGTGCTGTTCCTGAATTTGGTTAAGTTTATGCTTATATATGCTGTTTTATTTCTGTGTTCCTATTCTCCCTCAGATATGATGAAATTGAATCTAAGATGGTGCCATTTCTGAGTTCTTCAGGCTAAAATGTGAAAAAAGGTTATTGATATATTGCTTCTCGAATATCTCTTTTATACATACATATATATATATATAGGAAAATGGTGATTGATTGAATTAAAATTGTGGGTTATTTGTATCTTTTCAATAAAGCAAAGCAATTAATTCTGTATATTGATTGTGTTTTTGATCTTATTCTGAACCTGTAGATGTCCAGTTTCTACCTATATCTGGTCTTCTTGGCTCCAAATTAAAATTGTGGGTTCTTTGTATCTTTTCAATAAAGCAAAGCAATTAATTCTGTATATTGATTGTGTTTTTTATCTTATTCTGAACCTGTCGATGTCCAGTTTCTACCTATACCTGGTCTTCTTGGTTCCAGCATAAAACGAGACTGGACAAGAGCATATGCCCCTGGTGGAATGGCCCTGCCTCTTTGAAGTTCTTGATGCAGCTGAAATTCCTCCTAGAGATCCAAAAGGTCCTTCTAGGTATGATTTATTATTGTAGGAAACCATACAACTCTAGGAAGAAAATATAATTGTATAACTATACCCTTTTTCCTTTTGTCATAGAAAAGGCTACATAGTGACTTATAAGTACTCTGACTATTTCTTGAGTCCCTATGACTTTGATTCCAAACATAAGATAAGTAAATAACTGGGTAGGATTCTTGGAAAATAAGACCTAAAAAACTAACTCCTAAAGATCCTAGAATGACCGAAATGTGCCCAAATTATATTTTACAAAGAAAACCTAAATCATGAAACTGAAATTATATTAAGTAATAAAATAGAACCCTAAATTGCTAAAATTAAAGTTGCTCAATGTAGATTCTGAATTATCAAGGCTGTATCAATCTTTGATTTCACATCTATTAACTATATGTTTTGTAAATATAAAGGCTAAATATAAAGGATGCCTATAATTGACAAATTTAAAGACATGGGAACTGTTGTAATGGGAAAGGTTGAATCTGATACCATGCGTGAGGGTGATTCCTAATTGGTCATGCCAAACAAGGTGCTTAGTCTTTCACCTAATTTCTTTATTTGTTTATTTATTGTTTAACTTCGACTCTGAAGTCCAAGATGCATGGATGGCAGGCTCAAGTGAAAGTTCGTGTGATTTACTGTGATGAAGATAAGGCTATACGTGCTGGACCTAGTGAAAATCTGCAGGTTAAGTTATCTGGAATTGAAGAAGAGAACGTATTATCTGGTTTTGTCTTGTGTAGTGTTGGTAAGTGCTTTAAAGATTGTAAAAACTGAACGTTCTCACGTTTGATCCCCTAAAGAGGAAATTAGATTATAGAAAGTGGAGTTAAAAGGTAAATAGTAGGATAATTTACAAATTTGTTTGCAGAAATATTTCCATTCTTTTGTAGTTTTTGATAGCAATGCTGGGAGATCTTGGCCTCACCATCCCTTTCTATACTTATTTTTTAATTTTGATTCTGATGTGTTATTTGTGATTTTGTTTTAAATCTTGCTGAATTATATCCCCCCTTTTTTTTTCTTTTTTACTCAGCAAAACCAATACCAACAGTCACTGAATTTACAGCCCAGCTGCAGATCCTTGAGTTGCTTGACAATGTATGAATGAATCCACATTATAAAGTCCTCTCTTATCTTTAATCTTTTAGTTAATTTGATTAACCTTGCATCTAATGCATCTAATGGTATTGGACTGTCTCTGCTATTTTAGGCAATATTTACAGCTGGGAGCTCTCTTGCACATTCATTCTGTTGTTGAGGAATGTGAGATTGTTGAGCTGCTACAACAAATTGATCTCAAGACAAGAAACCCATGAAAAAGAAGGTTCTATTTGTTAAGAGTGGTGCTGTTGTTGTTTGCCGCATGCAGGTTTTCTTCTTGCCTTTTCACTCTTTTTGAGATTCCAAAGTGTCTATTCTCCAACATTTGAAATTATCTAGAATTATGAATGTTTTCCATTCAACATGGTGTCATCCTCCTGGTTGATACTTGTGGGACTGCTAGAATTTCTATGTATATGAAAGCTGTAGCATTGCTCTGTTATTTATGCACCTTCTAAGCTTTTCAAGGTCTGAAGTGGTTGGAATCTCCAACCAATATTTCATTTTGTCAAATGGTTTTCACTGGCGGTTTATTTTTAAAAGGGAAACAAGTTTTGCTTTGAAGTGGAGACTGGCTCAATTATATTTGAAACATTTCTCTGTGTTTGAAATTTGGTTCATGAATTATGTCCTTTTGGCAATATCGTCTCAGGGGAACAACTTGATTTGTGTTTGAGAGATTCCCAGATTTTGCACAACTTGGAAGGTTTACTCTTCGAACTGAAGGTAAGTGACTGCATTTTCATTATTCATGAATTACCCTGGGCATGAAGTGTGTAATTTGGATTACTGTGTCTACAGGAAAAACAGTTGCAGTGGGAAAAGTCATGGACATTCCTTCAAGTGCCAGTGCATAAAAAGGTTT